GATGAAGATGAAGATGAAGATGAAGATGAAGATGAAGATGAAGATGATGATGGAGATGAAGAAGAAGATAAATGATTAAGATGAAGACAAAGATAAGTAGACTGTTATGATCTACCTGTAATCCTCGCAGGAGATCAACGTCAGCGTTTCGCTGGCTAAATCTGATGAACTGACTAAATTGTTTAAAGAAAAATTTTTACTGGAAATGGTTAATAGTAGAAATGACCCAACAACCTAAGGAGCGGCTACCATTAATGCGGGTTATTCCAGAAATATTAAAAATATTGAAATAAAACGTTTCATATCTTTCTTTAGTTACCACAATCTACTAGTTAATACTGTAGATATGGATGTTTTCTCAGCCACAAATAATAATTAAACTTTGCAGTTGGTTATAAAAAAAAAATTAAAGGTCGTTAAAAAAATATGTTTTTTGTGTGTTAGAAAATATCTACATGTGTATGTATATCGCACATTTCTTTCTTTCTGGCATTTCCTCTATTAAGTTTCACTTCTTCCGCGCGTAGGGACTACACGCTCTGAGTTTTTTTAAATGTAGTTACTTACTTACATATATACTTACACTGGTGCGCCCTCACCCGCTTAGCTGTATTAGGTGTAATTTATTTCAATAAAATTCAACATACACTGCCGGCAAAAAGTATTGGTACAGCTGCTTTTTTTGCAATATATGCAACAATTTTTATTGTAATATTTTTCCGCAAATTTTTAATAAAAATATGGTGTATTCTACAACAAAAAACTTAAGAGTATAACTTCTAAACTTTGTGCAAAACTCGCAAAAAATTCAGCCAATTTTCAACTTTAATAAAGTAGAAGTCCTAAGTAGCTACGAATTGCCGTTGATTATTGGCAATTTTTATAAAGGTGGCAACCCTCTTCAAAATACTTTAGAACTATAACCTTTTTAAACTTCTTTCGTCTGACACCCATATTATGATACATAAGTTGTATGTATTTTAATGACGTAGTTTCCTTAATTAAAGTTGAATTTTACTTTTAAAAGAGGTGGCAACGTTATAATATGTAGTTTAGAAATTAAGACTTTTTAAAACCATTTCAATTGATACCTATGTATATTGCAATAATTCATTTAACTTATCAAATAATTTTCGAACAGGTGGCAACCATTTCTGAATACGTCAAAAATATTCTTAATGTTCAAACTAGATATGGGCATGGGACTAAATATTCAATCCCGATCCCGCCCATTCCGAAATTAATTTTTTAAGTCCCGAACCCGCCCATTCCGACATTTTTCAGAATTTTACCGCGGGTCCCGTGGGTCCCGAAATCTATCACTAAGAAAAATTCAAATGTCTTTCAAATTAATTTAAAATAAAACTAAAAAATAATGAATAATCTGGCATCTTCCGGTTATTTTGTTTTGCTTTGCTGTTCGTTTTCGTCTCAATAAGACATAAAAAAGTGTATATGTATTTCATACAACGTTTTTAAGGAAGATTTTCTGCATTTGCGAAGGTTACGGTTTTATCGGGAGTGCCGGGAAAGGATTTTGGTCCCGTCCCGCCCGTTAAATTTTTACAGACCTTCCCGATGTCGCCCATCCTGGCCATCTTGAAATCAGTACCATGGGTCTTGCGGTTCCCGACATCCCGTGCCCATCTCCAGCTTAAACTAGAATTTCTTAACACTCTTTCGTTTGACACCCATATTGTAGTATTTCATATTGCTTGTGCATAATTTAATTCAATTCAGCTCTTCAAACAGTTGGCAACCCTCTTTAAAAGTATTTTCAAACTACAACCTTTTTTACCCTCTTTCTTCTGACACCCATATTTCTGACACATATTCCAATCACCTAATTTTCTTAGTTCAAGCTGAATTTTACTTTTCAAACAGGTGGCTACCCTCCTTTATGGTGTTTGAAAATAAAGCCTTTTCAAAACGATTATGGTTGACACTCATACTGTTATAATTCAATGAACTTATTAAATATCTTGAATTCAAGTTTCTAAACAGGTGGTAACCCCCTTAAAAATATTTTGAAGCGACAACCTTTTTAAGGCTCCTTGGTCCGACACCCGTTTCATTATTCATATTTCATTTACTTAATTCTCTCAATTAAAGGAGGTGGCAACGGTGGGCTGCAATAAGGCCATACGCAATAAAGCCATATTGGAAATAAAGCCATATTTTTTTTGTAATAAGGCCATAAATTCGATATGGCTTTATTTCCAATTACAATTGGTAATTAAGCCATATGGCTTTATATCGTTTTCAAATTTTTATGTTTCTTTTATTTGAACAATGGAAAAAGTTCGCAACAAAACTACTAAACCGCTTTGAACTACAACTTCACCTGCGCCGGCCCCCGCGCTCCACCCTTCACACGCAGCGCGGTGCGGGGAGCCAGCAAATGAGCACCCGCCAGGTTATGCACTCGCAAAATTAAAACTTACCTATGTACATATATTTATTTTTCAATATCCAATAAATCCGGAAATATTAAATAATGATTTATTTCATTTTATTAGTAATAATTTGTATAAATTTAAATAATTCAGTATCAGTTTCAAGAGTGTGTCCAAGGCGAATTTAATAATGAATTACAACAAACACATCATTTGGACGTAATGTTCAGATAAAATTCAGATTCGCCGTTAACACCGCCTAGAGTGTCATTTCAGAATATGGCTTTATTTCTCATTTGCAAAAGTTTTTGTATAACTTTATTTCTCTTTCTGATTGGAAATAATACAATATGGCTTTATTGCCTAAAAATATGGTTTTTTTGCCTAAAAATATGGCTTTATTGTCATATGGCTTTATTGAGTATGGCCTTATTGCACCCCACCGGTGGCAACCCCACTGCGACATTAGGTCTATTGTGCCCTCAAAACTCATCACAAGACCTAATGGAACCCAACAATTTCAGGGTAGACAGAGAGTAAACGTACGTAGCCTCTGGCGATGCTTCCCCAAATGTTTTTGGCTTCTTCTGCGGACCGCATTGTATGCTAGAAGAGGTCTCACAGCAATTCTATTACCACTAATTTCCAGGGTATTCAACTTACTTTTTATGATTTTCGTAATGTGGCATTTTTATTTCCAACACTTTTTTGTATGCCAATAAAACGAAACTTTTTTTAATATATGTCTAGAAATATTAAACTAACAAGAAAGATGATTTATTGTCTATGCCCTTATTTCAATGTATTTTGAAGCACAATTGTTGCAGATTCCCTTTTCAGGCCAAATTTATTGCTTAAACATATTTTGAGCTTTGTTTCTATTTAATGTGCTTTACTTATTCCACCATTTGTTATTTTCCTATTTCTATTTACGCATTCATTGTATCGTTTGGCTGGATGGCAGTGGCGCGTGTCCTTGCTCCATCAACAAAACATGTGTGGACCCAAATCAATCATGCAACTGTGATGTGAAAGAAAACAAATGGTATTCGGATGAAGGCTACTACAATGAACCGCACAGTCTGGGCATAACGAATATGTATTTTCTACAACAAAAGGATTTGGAAGAAGATTCACAGGGACGCATAACGCTCGGACCATTGGAGTGTGTCGAAACGAGTGAGTGAATTTTGTTAAGGATAATTAACGATAACGAGTGTACACATTGGGGTGATACAAAATGAATACATTCACGAAAATTTTAAATAAATTTTTAGGGGTCACTATCTGTGTTTGAGAAAAATTTTATTTAAAAAAAATCGCAAAAATTCGAAAAAATTATGACTTCGATCCTGAGACATAACTATTTAACAAAAATAATAATAAAATTCAATCAAAGATAAACATTTTTCGAGTCAGCTACTAACTAATGTTATTTTGAGACATAAAAATATATTATAAAAGCCTTTTCACTTCATTTTTTTGTTTTAATTTTATATAGACTTTTACCTTGGTGGTATCAGGTCTTTGCCTGAGAAGACCCCCTGTAAAATTTTCCGAAGAATAATTTTCTAGAATATATCAATCGTTTAACGAACTTTCAAATTTGCTTTTTACGGGATTTCTTGAAGTAAGGGTCAAAACGACATTTTCAGGTGGGAGCTAATGCGTTAAAATGTTCTACGAAAATATTTCTCATGAAATTTTACTATATCTTTCTTAACCTTTAATTTCGCTCAGACATTTATTTTAACCACTTTTTCAACTTTTTTTAAAACTACTTAGACAAGGTCATGAAAATCTTAGTGGGCCATAAAATAAAAATTCGAGTTAACTTTTACTTTCAGAAAATGTTAATAATAAAGTCTGGAATGGTTTTCGGCTGTAGCACAGTGTAATGAAAATACTTTTATAATATAAGTCTAAAAATAATAGTTATCGATGACTTTCAAAAGTTTTGTCTCTCATAATTATTATCAATAGACTTTTAAAATTTTTACGAAAATTTTGATGATTTTTTTAAAACTCCACCACGATTTCTCTGGGTATCTGCTTTGACAGCTATAATCCATCGAATTTTCGCAATTTGAAAAAAAATTTAATTTTCTCAAACTTTGGTAGCGACCCCCAAAAAATATTTTTTTTGTTTTAATTTTTATGCATGTACATATTTTTTTTGTACATAGAACTCTTTATTTAGTTTTATGCTCCAAACAAAATTTAGATTTTAATATTTTTAAGACCACCCTAATACGCATATGTCTGTTATGTGGTGGTGATGTATGCTAGTGTGTTAGTTATTTTAAAGCGCCAGCTATTATTTATTAAGTTTGAGGAAATTTCCAAAATAACAGCAGTTATTTTATTATTTTTAGCTACACATAATTTTTTAGCACATTTTTGTGCATAATTTATTTACTGTTTAGCATCCTTTGCCCTCTTCTTTTATGGCCTTAATATAAATTTTGTCTACATACATACAAACATACATCACTCGCATGCATACAATAATTTCGAATTTCTTTTCACCATTTCCTGCACACAGACACACAAAAGTATGTCGTCACCTTCACTACATCACAATCGTACATCGAAGTGCCGGGCTGGCGCAAAGGGGATATTGCCTTTTCCTTCCGCACCACCGGCGAAAAGGCCATTCTACTCTTCCAACCGCCCATCCGCCCGAATCATCCATCGTTCATGGTCGCACTTACCGGCGACTATCAGTTGACATTCAACTTTACCCTCAGCACTGGCACTACACGAGAATTGGTAATTAACTCGCATCGCAAGTTGAATGGCGGCGAATGGCATAAAATTTGGATTGACTACAATGAGTATCACGTACGTTTCATGATAAATACCGACTATCAAATGGTTGATCTCTTGCCCGAGGAGGAATTCGGACCATTCGAGGGCAGCATGTACATTGGCGGAGCAACGGCGTAAGTAGAGAATATCAAAAAAAAAACAACCAAAAGAAATAAAATTAAAGTAAATGTTTACACATAAAATAAAAAATCATTGAATAAATCAGTCAGCGGAAGGAAGCTTTGTATGCGTCTCAATACGAAAATTGTAGGCGAAATTTTTATTTCGACATATTTCCCTCGCTGAAATTCCATATTGGTAACTACGCGTATTAAATATGTATGTTGCCCTTGATTTATTACGACAATTTTTTATTTATTTAATTATTATTGTCGAAGAAATGTGAAGTGAAACAGGAAAAGAAGATGAAAGTTCAGCAGCCCTATTTGTAAATGTTTGTCCGGCAATATATACGTATGAACATATTTATTTGCACGACCACAAATGAGCCCTCTTGTATTGCCAAGTTGACGTTGACGACGTTGACGTTGACGTTGACGTTGAGCACAGCATGCCAATTTGGATTTATCGTTTTAATTGAACTTTTAATATATACCATTAACTGTGTGCCCATTCGGTCAGCGCTGATTTACATTAACTCAGTATGTATATATATGAGTACTCGCACTTATTCAGATGCATTGACCAAAAGATGCGTAACTCAACAGCGATAATTGCATGTACATACATATATATGTATGTATGTGCAAGTATACAATTTCTTCGTTTGCCTTGCTTTGCCAACTGTCGATCGTTTTTTTTCACATTTCCCCCAAGTGTTAGTGAAATCAGGAAAATCAATCACTTTAACGGCACCTTAATTAACAGCGCGCACTTTTGCAATCTTTTTACAATTAATCACTTCGACTTTTCGCTGCTTTAATTTTTATTAATAGCACTTATTTCCTGTGGCTGTGGAAGTTTTCATGCCGCTGCTGCTCACAAACAGGCACTGCAAATAGTACATACATACATACATACATATGTATGCATTCACGCATAATCCTCTGCAAACTGAAGTTTTACTAGCTTGTGATTTACATACATACATACATACCCTCTTGGAAATTATAGTTAAGGCGAGTCGTTGCATTTGTGGCAGAATATCAACAAGTGCGCCAGGAAGTATGCAATTAAAGTTGCTTTGCGTACTCAGCGCATACCTACGAGTATGTTTACATATGTCTGTACTTCTCAAACGGTGTATGACATAGTTTATGAGTTCGAGTTAGCGTTATGATTTCAAATTTAATAAAAAAATAGTAATATCACCGAAAATAATAGACTTTATTTCTAAAACTTTCGTATTGTCTCGAGTTCAATTCAGCCAAAAAAAACTTACATTTCCTAGGTAGTATTTACACTGAATTTTTGAAATTGTTTTCATAGGTGGAAATTCTTTTAAAAAGTGTTTCCGAAAAGAAAAAAACATATATCAACACTTTCTGTTTCAATATCTCATTGTTGTACTTCATTTAGCTGAAGTAGAGTAAACAGATTGCAAATTGGGAACGGTGGAAAGTCTGTGCTGTAAAGACAAAAGATATTCAATTTTTGAAATGTTCACTTAAATTGAATTTTATTCTTTAAATAGGTGACACAGTCTTCACTCGTCTGACATCCATACTGGATTATTTATTTAGACTGAGTTTCAAGTTTAAGCCGATGGCAACCCTCTCAAAATAAAACGCGCTTGAACATATTTTGTATGACGTCCATATTGTAATATTTCACTGAAATAATTGATAAAATAAAATTACACTTTTAAATAGGTGGTAACCCCTTTTAAAATATTTTTGAAAAAATCCTTCTTAAATATATTTTGTTTGATTTGGCATCGTTAAGTTCTCATTTAACTTATTGTTTTCATTAAAATTGATTTTCAAACAGCTGGCAACCCTATTTAAACATATTTTGCAAAAAAAAGCACTCTAGCACTGTTGGGGAAATATCCTTCAATGATATGAAGCCTCAAATCTGGGTTCCAGTATGAGTCCGCGGTCAGTATGGGAAATGCGTGTTCATAAGAAAGATCTTTTGTATCCCTGAAAGGTATCAGCTCTAATAAATAAAAACTTGGTGAATGAATTACCTACTAATTCTAGTCTTAGCATAACATTTTGAACCCGTTCGAGTTTAAAACGCTAAAAGATGATTACTGAAGAGCTGCCATCATTTGCCACAGACTGATAATTTGTTTTACTTGCATACCATATCCCTACAGGGTTGACCTATCGAACTCCCGTTTACAGCCATAGTGTATTCGTGTATGTATGTATCTATGTATGTATGTATGTTTGATCTTAATTCGCATGCTCTTTATTAGCACACACTTCGCGTGCTTTAGTTCGACAACGTGTAAATAAGTGAGCCAATCAAGCAATCAATGTGTAGAGTAATGAAATTTATTGGCTTGCAGCGAACTTAAGCGCCAAGTGGCAAATTGCAAAAACATTTCAATCGTATTGCGAAATGTGCGCGCGCTTTAAAACAGAGTGAGAAAAAGCTTAACTGCGTGTCTTTAAATACGTTGCAGCGAGATTTATTGAAAACAATATTCTGAAGTGAACCTGAGTTGATTGGGTCAGAGATAAAATTTTTAAAATATTCGCAATAATGTGACAGTCGTTCTGCCTCTAAAAGACAAAGCTGCTGCGATTCCTAGGGCATATATGAATGTACATAAGTATATCTCATTTTATAAATACCTGAATGAGAAGCAAATCCCAGATCTTTATTAATTTTGTGTACAAAAGGTTAACTTTTTTCTATGGATTGGAACTTTGTTTCCACGTTCAGCCATTTATTTTGCATTTGTATATGAGCAAATTTCACGAGGTTTATGTTTTACTGTCACTCCCTTCTTTCGCCGGGAAAAACGCTAAAGCATTCTTATTGCTTTTATTTCTATCAATGGGGTTCCAGAAACAAGTACAATAAAAGTATCAAGTATTTGAACAATTTTAGCCTTAAAGCGTTTACTACGCGAAAAAGAACAGAAATTACTAATTTTTTCATTGCCACTCGAAAAAATCATAATTTTTTTTAATAACTTTGGAAAGTTTTCAAATTGAATGTTCATGTTAGAGGCAATGAAAGTTGGCATTTTATACAACATATCTGTGGCATGCAAAGAGTGTGCCACCAAATTTAAAAAAAAAATCCAGCATGCAGTGTATTTATCGCAGCTGTTTGGTAATTTTTGATATTTAACGATTTTTTCATTTTAAAAGTTTAAATAACTCAAAAATGTTAGCATTAAACGGTGAAAATGTACTTCTTACCAAAGCAAACCAAAGCGAAAAATTACACAAATTCTTATTCTACAATTTTCTTTGGCACACTCGAAATGCATTCTAATATTGTTATATACATGCATGAAGAATTAAAATATATATTCATCAAAAATATTAATAGAAAAATATTACACGCCAATATTTAATTACTTTTGAATAATATGAATTTTAAGTTAAGGTGTGCGAGTGTGTATAGGGCTACGGGGCGTATACGTCGTTATACACAGAACTACGGGTATATGAGTACGAGTTGTTATTTTGACTTTTTTGGTATATCTTTTTTAAGTTTTCATTTCAAATACAATTTCGCAATGGAATCTTGTGCTTTGTGCAAAACTGATGATAATGCATTGTCTGAGAAAAAGGTGTTAGCATTTTCGACCAAAAAGATGTATTTGTCACGATTTTAGTTATCACTCCCCCCATTACCTATTTGAATTGCATAAATAAAAACTTGGGATGTCCAAAGAGATCGATGTCTCAAATAACCTTTTTTTTATTCTATTGTTTATTTAAGTGTCAATTGTTTTTCCCTTTCAACCGACATTTTTTAGAGGCTTTTATCCTAACACCTTTGATATTAGGAACCGGTTTTGTTATCAACCCGTTTAGATAGATACGTATGTCGATGACTTGGGTTTTGTTGGTTATACAACCCGAGGCCTGCATAAGAAGTCCCCCTCTTAAGATTTGTAATACTTTGACTAGATTGGCTTGCAACTGACCAAATTTTCTCAGCCTTTCGGCCCCGTATTGGAGCTGTGTTTGTCTTCAGATTATTTCGAGGGATAACACAGTGTTCCCTTCGAATTTTTCACTGCTGGCTCCGACTCTTGCCAATTCGTTAGATTCCAACGAGTGTCACCGTTCGTTTGGCGATTCTACTGAAACCAAGAACACCATTGGAAAAGTATGTTTCCGTAGATGAGGAGAGTTTTTATGGTTTCGATCATAGCCAAATTCGTTATTGTATCGTTGTTGTTATATGTGATGATGAAGAAATAAATGAATACGAATAAGACAAAAAGGAGATGGGAAAATTGAAGATAAAGACGAAGTGAAAACGATGAGAAAAACATAAGAATTAGGGTAACTGAAGGGGCAAAATATGTATTGAAATTTTTCGCTGAGAATCTAAATAAATTCAGTCATAAAAAATTGAGTTATTTAAAGTTATCAAGTTACCGAAATTTATCGAATCATCGAAGTTTATAGTTATCGAACTTTATCGAGTTTTCCATATTTATTGAGTTATCACAACGTATCGAATTATTCAAATAGATCAGTGTTCATTGAGTTGTCAAAATTTACAGATAGTTTCCAAGCTATAAAAAATTTATGGGATTATCGAAATTTTCCAAGTTAATGAAATTCATCAAGTTATCGATATTAATTGAATTATCATTTTTTTATAGATTTAACGAAATTTATCGAGTTATCGTAATGCGTCGAGTTTTTTAAACTTATCGAGTTTACGATATTTGTTGATTTACCAGACTGTAACGAGTTATCGGAATTCGTCGATAGCTTTCAAAAAGCATGGGGTTATTAAACTTAATCGAGTTATCGAAATTTCTAGTGGTATCCAAATCTTATGGATTTATCGATATATATCGATACAGACATACAGTTTTCAGTTATCGAAATTTATAGAGCTTCCAAAAAGCACAGTTATCTAAAATTTTCGAAATTATTCAAGTTAGCGAATTTTGTTGAGTTATCGGATTTTGGTGTTTTTGAAAAATTTCATTATGGATATGTATCAATTTATCAGGATC